GGCTGATGGGTGTGACATGAACAGCAGGGGGGATTACAGGCCTGAGGGACCCACGAGCCCTTGCAGTTTCCTGGGAATGGCCTGGTTCTCAGGCCTCCCACTTTGCACTGTCGGAAGGCCCTTCAGTGCCTTGTCTGCTGGGGAACTCTGCTTGGGCCTCCTTGAAGAAGGAGTTCGAGGTGGTCCTCCCTGCACCCCACTGGCCTGGTTGAGGTGGTTGCCCAGCTGTGAACACTCAGGGCAATTGGGCCTGGCGTCTGGTCCTGTCTTGATAAGGTGGGAGGAGCAGAGGCAGGAGGGAGATTTAAAATCTTCATGCAGGGGTGAGAGCCCTTTGCTGTCTGTTCCAGAATAGATCCTCTTTTTGCAAGGAGATGCTCTGATCTCTGCAAGGCCTTATGTGTCAAACTATAGATAGATAGGTAAATCAGTGACCTGTCGATCACTCACAGAGCGGTTTGGAGAGGAAACAGCGGGCCAGTAAGCATTTTCATACCAACTTATAAAGTTTTTCCAGAGGAGAATTAGGTAAACCACACCCAGAAAAGGTCCACTCCTCCCGTCTGGTTAAAAATATAAAATAAGCAGGCGTAGATGTCAACCCTCAATGCAGCTTTCCCTTGAGCTCAGAAACCAGACCGTCCATATGTATGCTTGGTGGATCCTCGGCCCCATTTCTACCGCTTTATCTAAGAGTGGGGGAAGGAGCCTGAAGCTAACAGGACTTGACCAGAAGCAGTAAATACAGCTCTTGGCGAGGCCCAGTCTGTGGTTTCCTGCCATCTTGTCTCGGAGGAACATGTGAGGTCGATCCACCCTGATGACTCTGCACCTGGCCCCGTGCACCAAGGGGGTTTTGCAGCTGTGGACCCCTGGGCCACAGCACAAAGCTGTGCCTCCCGTGTGGGTTGGTTCAAGGGGCTACAGAGCTTGCGGTGGAACTCCCACCCGGAAAACCATTGCATTTCTGGCTTTTGCTGTAAGGTGGGACATCACAACAGAAAGCAACAGTAAGCGGTGAAGTCGGCTGAGGCCCCAAAGGGCACAGCCCCTAGTACAGAGTTTCTCATCATTGGCATTTGGGGCTGGACGATTCTTTGTTGTGGGCTGCCTTGTGCATTGCAGGAGGTTTGGCAACATCCCTGGCCGCTCCCCTACCCACTGGGCACCAGTAGCAACCCCCTAGTGTGACAACCAAAGAGGTCTCCAGACATTACCAAATGTCTTTGCGGTGGGGTGTCTGTCTGTGTGTAACCACCCCCCCAGCAAAGAAGCACTGCTTTAGTGATTGAGAGCAGGCAGACTGCTCAGATTCAAATTCCAATGCCTGTGACTTATAGGAGCACTGAATGAGTATAAAAAAAAGAAGACATAAAAGTAGGCTGTCCACATAATTTATCCTCCAAACCAGGCAATTTGAGAGTGGAAGAGTGTTCTAATAATAATCTCCAAACCCGAGACGGTCTCAGCAAACAGGGATGTGTGGTCAGCCCTTAAGTCCATACACAGTGTGGACTGACCCAGTGTCCCCTGGATGACTGCTGTGCTAAGTGCATTACAGGCAGGAACCTCATTTAACGCCCCCAATCCTGTGAGATTGGTATTAATATTATACCCTTTTGATATATAGGAAGACTGAAACACTTCAAGCTTTACAATAACTTGCCCAAGGTCACCCAGTGAGCTGTACAGTCAGGATGCTGGTCCTAGCGGGTGAGTTTCCAAGCCTGTGTTCTTTTTTAAAATTGAAAAAATTTTTTATTGAAGTATAGTTGATTTACAATACTGTGTTAGTTTCTGGTGTACAGCAAAGAATTCAGTTATACATATATATGCACATATTCTTTTATATATTCTTTTCCATTATGGTTTATTACAGGATATTGAG